GTCCAGGAGTACTCGGAACTATCGAAAAATGTTGGAATTTTTAAAAATAAAGATTTGATTCAAAACCCTCATCAAATTTTGGTCCAAACCCAAAAAACTAGACTTCTCTAGCTAGATTTTGAAGTTTTTCTTGTTTTTCGGAGTACTGTACCTTCGAAAGTACGCAAACACCGATGGCGAGCTAGAGGGATGAAAATTGGAATCTAGACTAATTTGTGGGTGGGAAACACGAATTTGATAGTCAAATACTTCGAAAAGACACTGAAATTTCGAAATTTCGGGTATTTGGGATTCCCGAAAATTCAAAAGTTCCAAAAATGCTTGAAACTATGATTTTCAAAAAATTAGAATTTCCGAAACTTCGGAATTTTTCAAACGTTGATTTTTTCTGAGGATTTCGAAATTTACGAATTTTCGGATTTGCAAAATTCCGAAAATAACACAAAATCACAGTTTTCGATATTCAAAAAATTTCGAATTTTCGAAAATTGGAGTTCCAGAGTCTTTTGGAAGTATTTGGATGTCAAATTCGTGTTTTCCATCCCGGAATTAGTCTAAAATCCAATTTTCAGCTCTCTAGCTCGCATTCGGTGTTTGCGTACTTTTGAAGCTACAGTAACCCGAAAATCTTCAAAATTGAGCTTGACAGTTCTAGCTTCTGTGTCTAGAGTGGATTTTTACGAGGAACTCGAATTTCAGCTTGTTTTCTCGATTTTAAAGTTCAGAACATTGGAAATATTAAAAATTCCAAAATTTCAGAAATTCGGAAATTTGAAAATTCCAAATTTCAGGACCAAATCATCCCGATCGTCGAGTTAATGGCAGTGAACTCTCCTCACTTTGCACGTCTTCACAAATTCATACGCCTTCAACTTCCCGCCGGATTCCCAGTGAAAATTGAGATTCCCCTCTTCCACATCGTCAGCGCCAGAATTGCATTCCAGAATATCAATGCGCCAGGGAAGCATGTAATTCCAATTGAAGGACGAGATGTATTGATTGAAGATGAGGCGTTTTCAATTCCAGATGGTTATGTGATTGATGATGATGATTACGGTAGATATGGGATTACGTGGGAGGATGATGATGATCGGAATAATCGGAATAGCCAGAGGAATGGGACAGGAGGAGCAGGAGAGAGAAGAGGAGTGCCAAGACATGCTAGTGAGTTGGAATTTAGGCTGAAAATGGCTGAAAACGGACCTCGTACTCCTCAAAAGTGTCTTCAGATGCATTTCTGAAGGTTTTCATTCTCAAAATCGTGTTTCCCACTCCCAAATTAGTCTAGTCACCGATTTTCAGCTCTCTAGCTCACCATCGGTGTTTGCGTACTTTCGAAGCTACAGTAATCCGAAAAACTCAAAAATCGTCAAAAACGAGCTAGAGAGGTTTAGTTTTTTTGAATATAAACTGAAATTTCATGAGGGTTCTGAATAAAATGTTTATCTGTGCCTTTCTGGGTTTTTGAACTTCTCGATTTTTGAAATTTTCTGAATTTGCAGACATTTCAAAACTCTCCGTCTCTCAAACTCCCACACACACACACACTCTCTCTCTCTCTCTCTCTATTATTCTGATTGCTCATTCTTGCAGACCCCTACTCTGAGGAAATGATGATCCAAATGGCAATTGAACAGAGTCTTCGAGAATCTTCTGGAACTTCATCTTCTCAAAATCCCCGAACCGAAGTTCAAGTCCTCCAAGACCTGATGCATCTTCAACAATTCAACACTTCTGAATCCTCAACGTCATCTGACACTGAATTCTTCCGCGCCATCCGTGATTCTCAAGCCGACGAAGAACGACGTCGTCGTGAAGAAGAAGCGTTTGAAGAGGAGATTCGAAAAGTTCTGGAACTCAGCAAACTTGAAAAATAATCCCCTTTTTTGTGTGTATAATCTGTACTTCATCAAAATTATCAATAGAGCGCAATTGCTTTCTTGTCTTCTCTTCCCCCCGCTGATCACAAAACGATACCGATCCGTTTCGGGTTTCTCTTTTTTTCCGTTTCATATGCACCCACTTGTTTCGGTAGATAAATATTTATTTTTCTTCTAATCTAATTTTTTCTGGGTCATGACCTAGTTTTTTCTAGGTAATGACCTAGTTTTTCTAGGTCATGACCTAGTTTTTTTGGCTCTTTTCTAGTTTAGAGGTCCGAAAAGAGTTTAGAGGTCCCAAAAAAATTTAGAGGTCCGAAAATAAAATAGAGGTCCGAAAAAAAATTAGGGGCTCCAAAAAGTTTAGAGGTCCCAAGAAAAATAGAGGTCCGAAATTTAAAAACGCACAGATGCTGGAATAATGTACTAGAATTCGAATTGTGTAAGAAATTAAAGTTTTGAGGTCTTATAGCAGAATAAGTGTTGATGGTATATTTTATACTTCTAATAGGCTTAGGGATGCATATTATCTGTATCATCTAAGCCTGAGAGACAGCATATTCATGGAGGTATTACCGTTTTGCCGAAATTTTGCTTTTATGAAAATTTGGGTCCATCTGAAAGACAAAATTGAAATGGAGCCGAAAATGTTAGGAAAAGTCACATTACCGCATTTATCAACCAATAGAGCCTTAAAACTCAAAACTCCAAGTTCTGGTACATTATTCCAACATCTGCGCGTTTTTCAAATTTTGGACCTTTATTTTTTCTTGGGACCTCTAAACTTTTGTTGGGATCTCTAATTTTTTTACGGACCTCTATTTTATTTTGGGACCTCTGAACTAGAAAAGAGCCGTTTTTTCAGGTCGATAAGAAGTAATTTATTATTCGAAACAAATTGGATAATCAGTTATCCGATTATCCAATTCCGACCAAGCCCGATCATGATACTACTACTACAAAAAACAACAAATTTGAATTTATCGAAAATTAACAAGGAATAAAATTCGATTAAAGGAAAAAGGGTTTCAATAAATATTGGATGGAAACTGTGGGGAAAAACAGCCTTTAGTTTACATATGACACAAAACGATATGACACAAAAAAAAATCAGTAAAAGAAGTCTTCTGGTATGCCTTGTTCAATTTGTTTAGATATTAGTTCAATCTGGAACTATGTCACCAATTTTAGGAACACCTCTTCCGTCTCTTTCCATACTCCAAAACGGAATTTATCACCCTGAACTGAAACAGATGCCACTCGATCATCTGTTTCCCTAACCATGTATCAGAGATGAGCGGAAGAGATTTACGGAAATTTACGGAAGACGGTTTATTTTCAAAATGAAAAATGCTACCAAAAAGTTGTGAACGGACAAAATGTAGATCTCAATGAGAGTTATTTATTGGTATAAAAGTTATCTCATAATAGTGATGGGGAG